AGAATGTAACTAAAAATGAGTATTTTTCTCTATTTAAGTGTCATCTGATCAAATGGGTGGCTAAGATCTATCTGATAGGCTCCTAAGATGCTGCCAAGTGTCAAGGGAGTGGTTGGAAAGATGAAGAGTTAAGGACACCATGGAAAAGCCATATGTAAAGCTCTCTTGGTCCCCACTTGGGCATGGGAGTAATAGGAGCCATTGGATCTGGATCTAAAGGATGAGGAGATCTCAATGAAGGTTCTAAAGTCTGATCAAATAGCTGGAATTGCTTGGGTTAGAGGGGATTAACTGAAACATAAGTAATTGAGCATTTTGACCATTCCCCACCGCTTTATTGACTGTTTGACTTGTCAACCAGTCAAGCCATGCTGAGGTGGTCTTGATGAGTCTAATGAACCAATAAAATAACTGGAAAGGAAAATAGATCCATTGGTTTGACATATTATTTGAAATGTTGACCAAAATGGTTCATTGATGTCTTTGTTGACTAGATTGACTAGTCAACTTGGCAAGGTGGTAAAGTTGGCATGAAAAGTGGTGTGGTGAGCTGGTTAAGTGAGTTTGAAGGTGGTTTGGTGAAAGAAGGTTTAAAGTTTGAATGTATGCATTTGAATGTAAGGAAGTTTAACCAAATATACAAGTTTGACTTAGTCAAATGGGATTTTATTTAATTTGTTTTGACTTTTGATGTACTTAAACTCTCAAATAGAATGGAATCAAGGGCTTGATGAGCTTTGAATGAATTAATCCACTAAGAATCATTAATTTGGCTCAAATGAGTTAATTTTGACTAGACTTGGGCTTAGTTGATCAGACTTGGGCTCAGTTGATCAGACTTGGGCTCAATTGACTAGGTCAACTATTGACTAGGTCAAAGTTGACTAGTTAAGCCCAAATCCCTAATGCTATGTTCAAAGGAGTTTTGAAGGAGTTTAAAAGCATTTAGAGTTTAATTCAAAATGAAGAAGCTTAAGGGTTGATTTGGTTAACCAGGTTGACCCAGAGTCAAGGATCAGGCTTAATAAGTTTGAAGTGTTATTTTGAAACTGTATGAGGTGGCCCTAGGGTCTAGGGAGGTCAATTAAGTCAAAATGACTATTTGGATCCTAAAAGGCTTGTTTGGTCAACCTAGGTTGACTTGGTTAACCATGTTGATCCATGGTTTGGGATTAGGTCCAATAGGTTTGGTTTGATGTTTGAAGTTGAATAGGGCTGGTTTCAAGGGTTGAGAAAGTCATTTGGGTTGAAATGACTATTCAAGCCCATAAGGGGCATTTTGGTCATTTTGACCCCTAATCCACTAGGGGATCAAAGTGGGTCCACCAAAATACAGTTTAATGTCTAATAAGTCATAATCAAGGGTCTAGATGTGATTGGAGGGTTTGTAAAAGTATCCAAGCTTAGGTTCGACTAAGGGACATGACTAGTGGCATAGGCCATAAATATTTGAAGGTTTTATGGCCTTTGGAATTCAATTCAATTTCTCGGGTTAGAGACCACAAAATGGGCTCAAATTTAAAGGGTAGTCTCTAGAGACATGTCCTATTAATATATAATTGATAGACTCTAAATCAGAGGTCACATGATTGGGGTTTGGAGTGTTTGAAAAATCATTAGAAAAGGTTTTAAAGACAAAGCCTTTGAACCTTGGATTTCAGTCCATATTTCTGGGTTTGAATTGAATTTTGAGTTTGAATGGTTAGAATTGAATTATTCAAATCATTTATAATCATTTGAGATATCACAAGTTATTGGATAGGATTGAAGCCAGATCTGGGACATGCTCAAGGTTTGAAGTCTAGATTTGATTGAAGTTGGAATTGAATTGAGATCTAGATTAGCTTGTGGTCAAGATTATTTTTAAGTATGGACTAATTTGAGATCTAAACAAGTTTGAAATCTGGATATATTTGAAGTCTGAGCTTGAATTGAAGCTTTGATTGATCTAAGATCTAGATTTATCATAAGGTTTCTATTGATTTAGGGTCAAGGTAGATCATAGGGTCTGGATTGGTCTATAAGAATCCTAGGATCTAGATAGATCCTAGGGTCAAAAATCTAGGAGGTTCTCAGAGTCTAGATTGGTCTGGAGGCTAGATTGATCTGGGGTTAGGATTGATCTAAAATATGGGTAAATCATCGGGTCTGGAGTCTAAAACAATCATAGGACCTAGATAGATCTCAAGCTCTAGATAAGTTTGGAGGGATCCTAAGGTCTAGATAGATCCTAGGGTCTAAATGGATCTGAGATCTAGATTGGTCCAAGCGACCTCATATAAAAATGAGGTAAACACATACAAGGAGCCAAGTCAAATATAAGAAGTTAACTATTACAACATTGAATCCAATCAAATCTTTTAAAAAGAGTTTCTATTTTCTTTTTCTTGAGTCTTTTTATATTTAGGTGTATGTTGGAAAGAAAATCGAGTACATAATTATAAGTGCAGATGAAATTAAAAGATAAGTTTCTCTGTTGAATCATATTTTATTATCTCAATTGTATTGCATGATCAATTATTTCAATAAATAAATCAGGTATTTAATTAAATTAATAAATTAAAAAGTAGTATAATTAATTATATTTTATGAACTTCTATCTTATAGGATGAACAATTATTTTAAAAAATACTTGCTATTGAATACGAGTTTCTAAATTTAGGTAAATTTAAATTTTGAATTTTGACCAAATTATACTATACGAACACATTTATCTTATATGATTATTAATGAATATTACCTAATTTAGATGTGTTAAGTGTAAATTATGTGTAATTCATTTTATTTAAATTTAATAAAATATATTATTTTAGTTATATTTATGCAAGAAATATATGATAAGTATAAATAATGTGTTATTTTATGTATTATATTTCCAGTGAAGATATATTGTTTAGAATTATTGTGGGGGAAAAATATAAAAAATGACACAAATTTTAAGTATCATCTGTGCCGCGACGTTAGACCAAACAACATCACAGTTCCATCAAAAGTACCTCCAGAGCACCACAATATTGACATGGCAATGCCAAATTCTCTGTTGGACAGCAATGTGCTGACAAAAGAGTTACCTTTACGATGCTTAGCTTACTATCTTTAAGCATAGAAGCATCATAATCTATCATGCCACAGTGCCCAAATTGTTATTCTAGCGCTGCTGCATTCAGAAGTCAGTAGTGCTACGGTGTAGTAGTTATAATTGCCCAAGGAGACGACCTAGCAGTGAAATGATGTGATTGTTTACTAAGTAACATATTCATGTCGGCAAGCACTTCTACAGAGTTAAAATAATATGATAGAAATTTTAGTTCATATTTTTGGGCGCATCATAGCCAACATTTCTAGCATCATAGCACTAGTTGCCTACTTTATATTTTTATATAAATAATTGATGTACTATGTTTGTTGGGGAGTTCAGTCACTTGTTTAATTTCAATACATTTCATAATACTTCTCTAAATCTCTCTTATGATGAAAACTAAGAGAATTTAGGAAAGTATTTGATACAATTGTTAGAGTGTTAGTCCATGTTTGTTGGAGCAACTTTATACATTAAGGAAGAAGAAGTGTTAAAGAGATTCATTAAACCTTCCTAGTGATATCATTCACTTGTGTTTTCTATCTTTTATGATTTAATTGGAAATGAGTTTGCTTATCTTTTCTTTCATGCATGGCTAATTCTTTATTTTTGGATTAAGTACCAATAAAAATTCATTTGCTCTAAAGTTAAAAGATGTTTTTAATATTATCCCACTCTTTATTTAATGCACATAGTGGACATATTTGTAGTTAAAACCTAGTGTGATGTATAGCCTCGATGGAGGTATGCAAGAATAACTAGGAATTTTTGAGTAGTGTGTTTGCATACTTTAAAATAGGATGTAAAATATGCTAAGTTCTTAAGGAGATGATATAACTGTAGAAAATCAGCATATATCCTATTCACCCCTAAAAGCTCGATAGAGAATTAGGAATGCATATGCTCTAAATCATATCATAATTAAGAATTTTATTAGGAAAGATATGCAATTTATATTCATCAATCCAAAACAATTTATACAAATATTGTATCCATTATTTTATAATTTTATTCAGTGATTGAATCTCTACTTTAAATATTTTTATTGAAGTAAGGTAATTTTACAATTAGAGTTAACAGTAGTTGTGTGTTAAAAGCATATTTACTCGTGGGTTCAACACTCTTCTCTATCACTTTATTACTTGATTTTACATGTATACTATTTTAAGTGGGGTTTTTTAATTTATATCAAAGAGAATCTAAGCATTATTTAGGCAAGATGGGGCCTTAAGTATATATATTTTTATAATTCAGAATTACACTTCACTGCAACCCCTTCCCCATCAAATTTTTGGCACAGTTGTTAGGGAAGTATTTAACTTTTTTTATAACATTTTAACTAAATTATTGAATTGATTGCATAGTTAGACCTGTTTTCATATTTATTTTTATTTATTTGCTTTGATTACTAATTATGTATTTTATTTTTTTCTCGACTTTATAGGCATAGAAATGAATTTTTGTCATTTGATCCTAAAATTGAGAGAACCTTTCTAAAATTTGAAAAGCAAAAATATTTTAATAGTGGCTGAACATGAGTTATAGAAAAATCATTCTAGACATTTTAAGGATTTCGTAAACCCTTTAGTAGCTGGAATTCATCGGAGCATAAATATACCTACAATCCAAGCTAATAATTTTGAATTAAAGCTAGTTATTATTCAAGTGGTTCAAAACTATTAGTTTAGAGGGAACTCTTGTTAAGCATCCTAATTTACATTTGGCCAATTTCTTAGAAATTTCTATAAAATTTAAGTATAATTATGTTAGTGATGATGCGATTAGACTTAGATTGTTTCCCTTTTCTCTAAGAGACAAAGCTAAAATGTGGTTGAATTCTTTATCCCTAGGCTCTATAACCACTTGGAATGAGTTGGTTTATAAGTTTCTTGCTAAGTATTTTCCACCTTAAAAAACTACCAACTTTAGAAATGACATAACATTTTACTCAGTTTGTAGAAGAATCCATTTCTGAGAGTTGGGAAAGATTTAAGGAAATGCTTACAAAATGCCCGCATCATGCATTATGTGATTAGTTGATTATTCTTTAAATATATTATAATATATTAATAGGATCTCTTAGAGCTATAATTGATGGTACAATTGAGGAATTATTAATGTCTAAGACATTTGAGAAAGCTTATGAATTAATAGAGGAAATGACTACTAATAATTTTTAGTAGGATTTTATAAAAGATTTATTAAAGGCTTTCTAAAATTTCTATACCCTTATGTCAACTATTGGAGAAAGATATTCCTTTTATATTTAATTATGCTTATCTTTAAGATTTTAATGCATTAAAGCAATATTTGATTATTGTTCCAATGATTATTGCTCATGATTGGTCTTTACCTTTTACAATAATGTGTGATGCTAGTGACATTGTTTTAGGTGATATTCTAGGGAAAAAATAAGATCAGAAATTTCATGACATTTTTTATGTTTGAAAAACTTTGAATTCTAATGTAATTATTCAATAGATGAAAAATAATTGTTAGCAATATTGCTCTTGATAAATTTAGATCATTTCTAATTGACACTAAAGTACTTATTTACACTAATCATACTGCTATCAAATATCTTATGACAAAGAAAGACACTAAACCAAGATTGGTAAGATGGATTCTTTCTATTGCAAGAATTTGATATAGAAATTTTTTACATAAAGAGTATTGAAAATCAAATTGCTGATCATCTTTCTAGACTTTATGTTGTAAATTATATATTAAATAAAGATGAGATTATTGAAAATTTTCTTGATGAACTTCATGCGAATAATTTATCTTGGTATGCAGATATTGTTAATTTTATTATTAGTGATATACTTCCTTATGATTTAAATCCTGATCAAAAGAGGAAATTTTTATATGATTTGAAATTTTATTTTTGGGATAAACTTGTAATGATCTAATTATGAGAAGACATGTTCCTGAAGAAGAAATGGAATCAATCATTAAGAAGTGTCTTGATTTGCATTATAGGAGATATTTTGGAGGATTTAAAAATGATTCTAAAATTCTTCAAGCAAGATTTTTTTGGCCTATTCTATTTAAGGATGTAAAAGAGAATGTTAAGAAATATGATCAGTGCCAAAGAGTAAACAATATTACAAAAAGATTTGAAATGTCTTTGAACAATATTTTAGAAATAGAAATATTTGTTTTGGGGATTAGATTTTATGGGACCTTTTGTGCCATCCTTTGGTAATCAATATATTCTTATTATTGTGAACTATGCTTCAAAATGGATTGAAGGTGTGGTAACTTCTAAAACTGATGATCAAATTGTGATCAAGTTTTTAGAGAAAAATATTTTCTCTAAATTTTAAATGCCAAGAGTTTTAATCAGTGATGAAGGAAGTCATTTATGTAACAAAAACATAAAAGCAATCTTAAAGAAATATGGAGTTTATCATAGAGCAGTAATTGTTTACCATCCTCAAACTAGTGGTTACGTTGAAATCAATAATAGGGAGATTAAGAGAATCCTAGAAAAAATGGTTAACTCAAAATAGAAAAGATTAGGCAATTAAATTAGATGATGCATTATAAGCTTATAGAACTTCTTATAAGATTCTTATTGTTATGACTCCCTATTAAATTAAATTATGGAAAGGCTCGCCACATTCCTATGAAATTAGAACACAAAGCATTCTAAGCAGTTAACATATTCAATTGTAATTTTAAAAAGACAAAAGAAAAAAGCTTGATGTAGTTGAGTGAACTAGAAGAAATCAGAATTGAAGTTTATGAAAATACCAGGATTTATAAAGTAATGTTAAAAAATGGCATGATAAGAAGCTTTTTAGGAAACAATTCACTCCCAAACAAATCTTTTTACTATTTAATTCCAGATTTAAGTTAATCCCTGATAAATTAAAATCTAGATGGTTTGGAAAATTAACTGTAATTAGAATATTTTCTTATGGAACTAAAAACATTAAGGATAAGAAAAGCCTACATACTTTTAAAGTACATGGCCACATATTGAAACCTTATTTAGATGGGGATATTAATCGATTGTGTAAAATAATTTAATTAGTTTATCCTGAAACAATAATTGCTATAGTCTAGCTGAAGACTTAAAACCTAATGCTTATGGGAGACAACCCACTTGATATGCTATGCATGGTGCCTAATACACTAGTTATCTTATAACCTATGTTATGTTATGTTAGCAATTTTTTTTTACACCTTTTATCATTTATATTAAAGCATGCGTAGTGTTAATTATTATTTTTATTCTTTTTATTTATATTTTACTGAAATTCACCTCATGCTTGCCATGATTTTTGCATTCTAATTATTTAATTAACCTTAGTAAAAATGATAATTAAAAGTTATGTAAAATTTGGATAATAATAAAACCCAAGATCATAGTTCAAAGAATACTATTTATCCTTCACAAAGTAGAAAAACCAATAAGTATCTTATTTAGATAATTTAAGTTATTACATTAATTTGAAATTATAAGTTATACCTTTTTATATCATTTTTTAATTAAAGATGATAGTTGGAATTAAAGATTAGATATGAGTATATTAAAATTAGAAATCATGAGCAATTCAAATTTGGAATTAGTAATCTTATTACATCCTCACATTAAATTTATTAAGATTATCAAAGGGTTCAAAGTAAAAGTTGATATTCAAATTTATTAAAAATGTACTCCGAATAAAAAAAAGGGACTCTTAAAATAGTTCTATCATAGAGAGAAATAGAAAAATTGAGTACATTCAAAAATTGATATAAGTAAAAAATTTTAGAATCCAATTACAATCTTATACTTAAAATTCACTAAGGATAAAATATGAAAATTAGTATATTAGATGGTGAACTAATAAAAGTTTCAAATTAAACTAATAACATATATAATCCTTAAACTACATTATTAACTTTAAAAATAAAAAATTAATAATTAAATCTATAACCTATGAATTTAAATTAAGTAATAATAAGTATGACTAATTAGTAGAATTATTAGTATTTTTTTCTATACTAGAATTATAATATTGTTCATTTTTACTAGTTATAGACCGTGATGCATTATTTTATATTTTAATAGTTTTAAATTATTTGTTTTTACTTTTGTTAATCATTTAATCAAGATCACAATATTTTTATTTGCTTGAGGACAAGCAAGAGTTTAAGCTGGGGAGAATTTGATAAGTGTAAATAATGTGTTATTTTATGTATTATATTTCTCTTAAAAATGTGTTATTTAGTTGTGTTATGAAGGAAAGATATAGAAAATATATAAAATTATAAGTATCATCTAGTGTCGTGAGGTTGGACCAAACAACTCTACATCACCATCAAAGGCTCTGCCAAAGCGCCACAATATTGATATAGTGGTGCCAACTTCTCAATTTGATAGCACCGCAGTGACAAAAGATTTAACTTCACAGCTTACTTTGTTCAAGTATCGCAGCATCACAATCTATCACATCTATGTGCCCAAATTTCCATTCTAGCATCGCAACAGTCAGAAGTCAGCAATGACATGGTGTGGCAATTATAATGGCCTAAGGACACGTCCTATTAGTGGAATGACACGACTGTTCACTAAGTAACTGATTCACATTAGTAAGCGCCACGATGGAGCCAAAATAATTGTGTAACAACGTTAGTTCATTTTCTAGGCGCAACAACGCTGACCTTTTAAGAACCTCAAAGCTAGTTGCTTACTTTGTGTTTTCATATAAATATTCAATGTGTTTTGTTTATAAGAGATTTCAATCACCTATTTAATTTCAGTACATTCCATAGTTCTTATCTAAATCTCTCTAAGGGTGACAATTAAGGGAATTTAAAAAAGTATTTGATAAAATCATTGGAGTGCTCGCTCGTGTTTCTTTGAGAAACTCTATACATTAAGGAAGGAGTGCAGAGGAGATTCATTGAACCTTCCTAATGGTATCATTCTCTTACATTTTCTTTTCTCTATGATTTCAATGGAAATAAGTTTGCTTATATTTTATTTCATTTATGGCTAATTCCTTAATTTTGAATTAATGATTTGGATAACATATTAAATACTAATCAAAATTCTTTTGCTCTAAAGTAAAAAAAAAATTTAATATTATCCTGCTCTTTATTTAAAGAATATTTAATATCTAAACCATTTAAAGATGCATATGGAATAATAGAGAAAATGAATACAAATAATTTTCAATGGCCTATTGATAGGATGAATCCTAAGAGAATAGCTAAAATTTGTTAAATGGGTGCTTTGTCGATTCATACTGCTAAGGTATCTATAATTTTAAAGAAATTAGAACTATTTGAGTTAATTTTGGATTAAGATTATCTATATAATTGGAAGAGCATAATTTTAATTCTAATGATGATAATTGCTCTAGGGATCAAAAAAATAAATTTGATTGGAAGGAAAAATAATCCCTATTCCAATACATACAATCCAAGTTAGAGGTACCACCCTAATTTTAATTTGTCTAATAAAAATATTGGTGGAAAAAATTGGAATAATCCCTAGCAACTTGTAGCGAATCCTATTGTGACACCTCCAAGTTTAGCATTCAATTATACCATTTTGACCCAATTAGAAAAAGATAAATATTTGAATTTTTGTGTTTTTAAACCGTTTATATGTCTTTGGGAGTGTTATGGTGCATGAAAATAATTGTGTTTTGTCTAGAATGAGTCTTAAGTCTTTAGTGTAAATTTTAGTAAAATTTAAGTAATGTTACTTTTCGAGTGCCTCGACATTGGTGTGATGAAATATATACTTATATGATTGAATTATGACTATTGAGAGATATAAGGGTAGATTTTGTCTGTGTCAAGAAATATTTTGGTGCCTATATGACATATTCTGATAGCTATAAAGACATGTTTTGGTGGCTATAAGCCAAATTAGGGTGCCTATGGGCAGTTCTGATTCTATAAGGACAAAAAGGAGTAATAAGGGGCCAAAATACTTTGAGATTATGTCTGAGAATAGGATACAGGATATGAATTGCTTTGCGATATGAACTACTATATAATATAAATTTTAGTTTTTTT